GGGAGGGCAGAGCCTTGGCTCAGGTCGCCCTCCGGTCACCGGAGCAGCTGCCTCTTCGGTGGCTTCCCAAGAGAAAGTAGCATGGCCTTGAAAATCCACGCCCTCAGTGCAGACTTTCCTTTGGGTAAAGGCGCTGGCTTCCGCACACTCGCGGGAAGTGTGTCCAGTGAGTCCTTCCCGGGAGAAGCCGGTCTGGGCCTGTGCAGCCTCCTTCCAACAGGGCATATCCCGTGGAAATACATCCTTACGGTGTGCGAGGGTGTGCGTGGGTGTGCGAGGGTGTGGGTGCATACTTAGAGAACTCCAACGTGTAGGGCATAGTTACAGTAAACCGCATGGGAGAATCAGTCCAGGCCACCCAAACCTGAACTTCGTACTTAGAAAAATCAGTTTCACTTGGTGGCACTTTCTTAATTAGAATCATATCCTAGCAACGCAAAAAACGTGCTATCACTCCGGACAGCTGTAGGAAGCGCAGTTTCTCCAACCAAATCTCTGGAAATGGTAAGAGACATTGGTATTAAGAGCCCACAGGGAGCGCTCTTTGGGGAGTTGGTAGGTGCAGTGGGCAGTTTAGGAACTGTCTGTCTTTTGACTGGGGGTGAGGATGGGGGATGTGGACCGTGTTCCTCCAGTCTTCAGAAACTTGGCTTCTCATTGTTTGACCTCATCTTTAGAGCACTCCACAGTCATTTCACAAATTGGACTGATAAATTGATAGACATCTGGGAGTTTCCACCCACATCATAGTGAGGCTTATCTAGCAATGAAAGAATAATGAATGGATCCAGACGGAAGCTTACTGAACAGTTGTGTGTACAGTGCTAGGTATTGTATATGCTGCGTTTCATTTAATAAGTGATATCACTCCCACAGACAAAATAGTAGCTGTCATCTGATGAGACTTTGGGTTTGGTTCTGTCAGGGTTTTCTTTTTCTTTTGAAAATAAGAGCATTTAAGGTCAAGGGTGGAAACCTTAGGGATCATAGAAATTTCCTCAAGTCTTTATTAGCCCAGGGAATAATTTTTTAAAATGAAAAAGAAACAGGCACACGTGTGCTCCTCTTCCTGGGCTGTACTCTGTGACACCATAGCCGGGCAGCTCAATTTGTTTTCTTTGCAGTGCTCAGAGGAAGGATTCTAGACACTTCTGGTATACCAGTTATACCTTTCATAGCTATGGTTGATAGAGCTGTGTTCTTCCTTCCGTAGCTGGTTAGGAGGCGCCTTGTAATTCTATCTCCAGTTCAGCTCCTAATAAACAGTAAGTGCTCAGAACATTGGTCTGATGAATGAGTACTGTCAAACCACATTCTTTGGAATTAAGCTTACTTGGCCTCAGTGATTATCTGACTGACCTTGAATGAACCACATAACCTCTTTGGGCTGTGGTTCTGTGGTTCACTAAATGAAGAGGGTGATGAGATGATAGCTCTAAAACATTTAGAAAAAAGAGATCAACATTGGCTTCTTTATTTGTGGTCACTGGTAACTTTCTGGTTCTAAATTTTAATTATCAAGAGAAAAATGCAGGCTTGGTGCCCATAACACAGTGGTTATGGCACCAGCCACATACACCCAGGCTGGTGGGTTCAAACCTGCCCCAGGCCAGCTAAAACAACAATGACAACTGCCACAAAAAATAGCTGGGCATTGTGGTGGCACCTGTAGTCCCAGTTACTTGGTAGGCAGATGCAAGAGAATTGCTTGTGCCCAAGGTTGCTGTGAGCTGTGATGTTGTGGCACTCTATCAAGAGTGACAGAGTCAGACTCTGTCAAAAAAAAAAAAAAAAGAAAATTGCATTATTACTAGCAAATTATCAGTGGTATTTACATTGCCTTATATTGTTGAACTGGTAAACAATGCTGATTTGAGAACTTAATAAAATCAAGAAGACACAGAAAAATTTGTTATATCTATGAGGATTAGTATATTTGGTTCCACTCTTGCCTGGAGAGTCCTTTTGGCAAGGAACTTGATGCTTAAAACTCAATGTTAGGAGGGGTGGTGCCCGTGGCTCAAGGAGTAGGGCTCTGGCCCTATATACCGGAGGTGGCAGATTCAAACCTGGCCCGGCCAAAAACTGTAACAACAACAACAAAAACCCTTAATGTTAGAGAAGAGAAGACATTGGTTGGGGAAATAGCCCATCTCTTCATTTAACCTATTAATATCTCTTCATTGAGAGCTTATGTGTGAAGGTATGTTTGGTAAGGGAATACAGATATCAAAAACAAAACAAAACCAAAAAAAACCCGTTATTGTTTGCCCTCAAGGAGTTTGCATACCCAGAAGTCATTAACGTCACTAAAATAGCAGCAGGGATTTGGTCTTTGGTGGGTTTCCCGATATTGAAATGTTAGATACTCGAACTTTTGCAAAAGTATCTTTTGACTTTGGGAACTACCCGCTAGTGGAAATAAAGGGGTGATACCGTCATAGACTGTTACTTCTATCATATCACCATTCCCCTCTGAGGACTGGATTCTGGGTATTACTCTCTGGCACGGACACAGCCATCCACGTTCACTGTTATGCACTTCGGTGGCAATATTACTCAATCATCACCTGACACAAGTAGTCATAAAACCGTATCCACCACATGTCTCAGAAGGGGGCGGGGACTGCCACATGGCAAAGTTGGAACCTCGTGCCAAATCTTAAAACGGTTCCAAAGCAGTTGGCCCATTTTCAGTATAACTACTCTATTAATTGATCTGAATTCTAGTTGATACTAATCAGGACATGAGCTGTCCTGTCAGTTCAGAAAATGATTCTATTTTAACTGTTCCACAGTGTACACAGCCATATGCTGATTTTTAACACAACATAAAGCCTGAGCATTTAAATGCCAACTTGTGGCTGCTTGTTTCTAAGGAGTCAGGTTTTTGTGAGGCTGTGCTCTCCAGATCTTTTTATATCTCAAAGGCTATATCTACCACTATTTCTTTGAACCCATGAGTCTGACATTTTGTGGCTCTGGGATTTAACTTCTCCAAGTTACTGAGTCTACCAGTTATAGTTTCCAGAGCGAGTAGTTTCAGGATGTAAGTGTTGGTACAAATCTCAGATTTTCTCTGAAAATATTAGACTTCATAGAAGCGTCTCCTGAAAAAGTATATTAATAATATAATGTGAAAAATAGAAATTTACTTGTTTAAATTTGATGCAGTGACATTTTGTTATGTAACCTGCAAGAAAAGAGACAACACATTGGAAGAACAGCACAGGTGTTGGGATCTGGGATTCGTTCTCGATGCTGTAAAATTCTTCACCCTTCCTAACTTTCTCACAGGCCATCAGGTGTTAGAATTTAAGTTCCCCAGCATCTCAGCTGTATTCAATACCTTTAGACTGGCAACTTTCATCATTAATGAATTCTAGTTCTTGTTGTCTTTTTTCCCTCCCTAGTCTTCTCTTGAAGAACACCCCTTTCTCCTAAATCCATACCTTCTCTCAGAATTCACCTTGAACTTGAGTTTTCTTTGAAGTTCAACTAAAGCCATAAATAGGAACCTCAGACCCCAGATCATTTTGGTAATCCTTAAGAAAAACAGTAATGAGTGGAAGCAGCAACTTTGCGCTCCACACTATGTGATGGATCAACCAGTGGAAAGGCCCCTCCCAGCACCGATGCCAACAAATTTCCCAACTTCACCCGTTGATAGGTGTGCTGCGCATGCTGGGGTGGGCAAATTTGCTTGCATTGGTTGGTGATAAATGTTTGATAGGATTGGGCATCATACTGGAATGCCTTAGTTTCTCCAAAGACTGGAAAGGAGGTTTTGGAAGCCCTGTTAATGGAGACTCATTTGTGTGGCTGCCTTCTAGATAGAACCATTCTGTTTCAGGAAAGCCCTCAGAAGGCAAAACTTATTTCTTTTGGAATTGTGCATCACACAGTGACCCAAAATGGGTTATTTCTATTTCCTAGTGATGGAGTTTATCAGTGGCTGTACCCTGATTTGACTTGTGTCTCTAGCCGACGTGTGGCTTACCCAGGTGTGTATGTGGTGCCGCACTGAATGCTGCTGTGGTTTTTCACGTTGCAGTGAGTTTATAACGTCTTTCTAAACCTCCTGAAATGGCTTTTGATATGTGCACTTGGATACACATGCTTGTTAAGCTTGATTTCTTTTAGGGCTTTGGAAAGCAATTGACCTTGCTACGAAGGGCAATGGAATTATTCTAAATGTTATGTTTCTTATTTGTTTTTTCTAAAAGTTAAATTTCGTAAAACACAGTTTTGTTTCTAAAGATTAAATTTTGTGAAATTGTACCTAAGTGATGATGACTATTATTATTTTTTAAACATAAGAAGTAACTAAATATGTCTATATAAGTAATTTAGAAAGTGAATTGTTATGATACATCTTATTTGGGATATTATTCTTTTATACACACATATACACACATATCCTTTCTTATGACAAACCATAGACTGAAATATTAGGTCTTGGAAACAAGATTTCTTTTTTTTTATTTTGAGACAGAGTCTCACTATGTCACCGTCAGTAGGGTGCTGTGGTGTCACAGCTCACAGCAATCTTCAACTCTTGGGCTTAAGCGATTCTTTTGCTTCAGCCTCTCAAGTAGCTGTGACTACAGGCGTCCACCCCAACGCCCGACTTTTTGTTGTTGTTGTTGTTGCAGTTGTCATTGTTGGTTAGCTGCCCTGGGCTGGGCTTGAACCTGCCAGGCTGGGTGCATGTGGCTGGCACTGTAACCACTGTGCTGTGGGTGCCGAGCCAGAAACAAGATTTCTTAAGGAAAAATAAGTCAATTAAGAATAATTTTCCTCTAAGGTTTTATCTCAAATTATTTTCATTTGAATGTCAAGGGCATAAAAACCACTTTAATAAACTTGTCCATGGAGATCTTTGGTTTAAACCCAAATGTAAATGCTCATCTCATTTAAAATTTGCTCTTAATTCCATTACTGGCGAGAAAGGTAGACCAGTACTTTCCCGAGAAGTCAGTACTTTTGAAATGTTATGAGTGATTTGTTAGAGGCAAGGATGTAGTGAAATATGTTCTTTTCTCTTTGGAAACCACTGTAGCACATTGTCAGAATGTGCTTCTAGCTTGGTGTGTACAAGGCCTCACAATTAAGTTCAT